AAGTGAATGAAAACATCCTGCAAAGTTTTAAATCTGAAAGTGCACCGTGTATAAAGTTATTGTCTCTCAAAAGAAAGAGTCGACTCTGAATCATTGAAACGAGTCGTTTTTAAAACGAATCCCAAGCCGTTTCATGTTGACGTCAACATGAAACAGCATATTGCCCGCACTCTTTTTGCATGGGTCTGAATGAAAATGCAAATTCATTCTTTGCCACTAGTTGCCACTTTTGGAGCGGTAAAAATTGCAGTTCCCTTTCAGTCGGTCACTCCCGACGTCACGTCGGATGACCGACGAATTGGGATCTCGCTTAGAGAGACCAATCTACTTCGAGTGTAAACTAAACGAGCCAATGCACATTGGCATGCGATTATTGTAATGTCCCTGTTCCAAGTAGAACGGGTACGTTTTCCCAGTGTTATCCAGTCTTACTCATTGGGTAGTGCCATAGTAGCAGTAGCTGGTCCTCTTGTGCAAGCCCTGGCCTACGCCAAAAAGTAGGGGCGAAGGTGGCTTCCACAGGACACTGGAAGGGGCAGTAGCTGTGGCCTATTGGTAGGATCCCAATTCGTCGGTCATCCAACGTGACGTCTCCGTTCCCTCCTTCAGGGAACGAGGGTTACCATACGTAACTGAGACGTTTCCACAGTAACGGCTGTACACAAAGCAGCACTGCGCTCACAAACGCTGCTTTATCAGGCATTACAGGCATGATGAAATGAAAATGAGACCAATCGGACCAATCACCGCAGATTACTTCACGCAAAGGAGGGGTTTGAAAAAATTAATCTTTGAGCGAATCGTTAGGGAGTCGTTGAGCAATTAAGGTAAAAATAAATTCATATTATAAGACAATGAAAGTGTTTTTTGACCTTGCATGCAAGTCAACCTATTGTTGGGGACTCCCAAAACCAAAATATGGACCTTTCATTACCCATAATAGGGGCACTTTAAAATAAAAATCTTAACTGACTTCAAACTTTTGAACAGAAGTGTACAAAAATTTTCTGGTGCTTTCTGGACAACTCACTTACAACCTGCAGACAGATGGTCTGGCCGAGAAGTTCAACCAAACACTGAAGTAAATGCTATGGTGGGTGGAGGCCAAGGACAGGCCCAAGTGTAACTTCACGCTATATGTTATATGGCATCAGGCAGGTGTCCAGCAGCCCTAGGGCCTCCTTGACATCAAAAGTAAGGCTTGGGAACAGCACCCCACTCCCCATCATTCTGTCATCAAATATGCACAGTATGGGACTTGAGAGAGAGCTTCAAATAGGTGATGTAATTGGTACAGGAACAACTGGCTGAGCTTCAGCAGAAAGTCAACCACCAGTCGGCAAAACTGATTGCTTTTTAAGGTGCGGTCACATTAACAAAATTTTGCATTCATTGGCTGTCGTCAATAGTGTCTATCTGTGACTTTGTGCATTTATTATTAGAAATCTCACACAATAAATGAAAAATCAGTCAGACCCACACATAAGCAATGGATAAAATGCATTGCATGTCTTGAAATGTATCCTTAAAAATTGAGCTTTTAGGAAAAGAAATATGAAACATTTATATTGTATTTCAGAGGCTTTGTGATTAATCTCCATAAAACTATAAAACTATTTCTAAAGTCCACTACACATTAAACACTGCCTGCAATATTTCAATATGTGTGTATGTCTCTAAGAGATCTGTTACCTGACCCAAGCCAAGCCTGATGGGTTTCTGTTCAGGTTCAGGTTAATGTTTATTGAACAGCCTCTTGTTTGGGTTTGTAAATAAAGAATAGGTAATAATGTTGTAAATAATGTACGGTTTCTTGCACAGACCAATAGTTTCTCTTCATAAGACCACAATATATCGACAGGAGCCAAAGGTACTAATTTTGTGTTTCTCAATATGCTTTTTATTCTCAAAGACAGGCAGCCGCTGACTTGCATTTTATGAATCACCAAAGACCACAGTTACCACAGTGTACTTAAAAAAAAAAAAAGGCACCTACATCTTGGATGGCCTGAGGGTGAATAAATTAACAGCAATTTTTCATTTTTTGGGTGAACTGTCCCTTTCATTTCTAGTATGTCTTTGTGTAATTGTGCTTACTTGGCGGTAGGTTCCCTCCATCAGTGTGTCCAGGTTTTGAAGTGGCCCTGGGGTTTTGTCTTTAAAGCGGGTCAGTAGACGGCGCTGGATGGCCCTGAACTGGACGGCTCTCTCCGACAGCAAATCCTGATACTTCTGCGCATTCACACGAAGCTACAAATATTCCCACAAAATGAGAAAACATTACTCAGAGGGTTATGTTTTCATGTCATACAGTACTTATTTAGGATGCCACTATATGCTTCCATATGTCAAGAATCTGCTTTAAATATGTGTGACCATGTGAGAAACTTCACACCTCAAAGTGGTGGTCCACTGTCTCAAAGTACTCAGGCAGTGGAATTGGTCCAGTAAAGCTGTTCTGAAAGTCTTTGGCTCCAAGGGAGGCAAAGTGCCGGACGAAACGCTGCACCAGCTCCTTGGCTACCAGCCAGATATCCTCAAAGCTCTCGCTCTGGATCCTGTAACGCTCTGCAGAGAGTCAACACACACTCACATAAAGAGAGAGACAGAGCCGTGCTATCAGCCTTCCGTCTCCCGCACCTGTAATTAGCTCATGACAACCTGAAACAGATCACAGGGCTTCCTCGCATGATGGATGCGAGAGTTAGTGAAGCGTGTGCTTGTGTGTCGCGGCGGCGGGGGGGTTGTGTGAAAGTGTGCATTTATGAGTGTTCACAAAAGACAGACACAAGAAAGAGAGAGAGAGAGAGAGAGATGTCGATCCACACTGGCACCACAACAAAACTTTCATTACAGGATTTGACTGAAACCTTTTGTTGTGGAAATACACAACCATGGTGGCTCTTTCACCTAATACTGTACCTGATTCTTAAATTCCCAGCACTAGTTTACAAATATCGATGCAGATTTAACACATTTTCAGTCTACACTGCCATTCTTCAAGATACTTTGAAGAATAAATATCAATCAAGGACAGAGGATGGATTTTCTTTCTGAGATTTCTCTACAAGTTGTTTCTCCTTCTTTGTCTTCAAACAGTTTTTCTTTGTTGCTGTCACCATGTGCTTGTCTTCATGAAACAGATTTTGAAACATTTCCTCTGATTAAAGGGGTGGTTGACTGTTTTATTTTTTTCTAGGCTTGATTGTGTTTATTGGGTAAAGTCTAATGTGTTTTAAAAAACACATTATATTTCACATAACCTATTATTTTTCAACATTTACTTTTATTCTACACCGCTCTGTCCCTTCTCCTTTGAACGCTCTGATGATTTCCTGATTTTATGAAGCCTCTCCGTCAGAAATACGTAATGGGCTCAGATTAGTTAGCTGACCCAGTGTGTTGTGATTCGCTAAACTGCCTCTAGTGCACGTCTAAACGTCCCGCCCCTCACCTCACCTCAGCGGCATGCGCTCCGGTTATATTGTATACAATGGCGTCGTCAATATTGCTTATCAATTTAAGCCCAAATGAGACGCAGAGGATATTAGTGAAGAGGATCGTGCAGAACCTGTGCAAGCACACGGCTCTTAATGGTATGTTTTTTGTTTGTTGTTGTCTCATACTTTTAGATATGCTGTTATTTGTAAATGCTACTGCTTATGTTAGCTTTTAATATACGGTATAATATATTTTAATATACAGCATGGCAACCGCATGCGCGTCCACATTTAACGCTTCTAGCTATGTGAAAAATATCTGTCTGTCTATACACATAAAGTGTATAATTGGAACACAGTCCATTGATGGAGCTGATGAGAGAGAGAGATGCAGAGCAGAGCAGGAGGACACGAGGAACAGTATTAAGAACCGCTGCTTTAGAACTTTGATTTTGAAACTTGTGAATTCATTAGAATCGTTAGAAGACAGAAACGTGATTCATACAAGAATAGATTTTTTCATGCACCACTAGTTTTGACGGCATGGCAACAATTCTTCCTCTTCTCTAAAGCAGCGCAACATGGCCCCGCCCCCTTTGTTGCATGTTCACGGGGGTGGGGTCTATCAGGGTTTGTGATGTCACAAACCCGGGAAGTAGCTCGTTGTAGTCCCTACCAGCTGTTTTTGTAGGCATTGAACTGCCATAATTTTAAAAGTGATCTTTCAGCGTCGTAACTTTGCAGATATTGTTTATGCTCAAACAGCAACATCACACACTAACTACCGTTAAAAAAGTGAAATCGCAATCAACCACCCCTTTAAAACCGCTGCTTTAGAACTTTGATTTTGAAACTTGTGAATTCATTAGAATCGTTAGAAGACAGAAACGTGATTCATACAAGAATAGATTTTTTCATGCACCACTAGTTTTGACGGCATGGCAACAATTCTTCCTCTTCTCTAAAGCAGCGCAACATGGCCCTGCCCCCTTTGTTGCATGTTCACGGGGGTGGGGTTTATCAGGGTTTGTGATGTCACAAACCCGGGAAGTAGCTCGTTGTAGTCCCTACCAGCTGTTTTTGTAGGCATTGAACTGCCATAATTTTAAAAGTGATCTTTCAGCGTCGTAACTTTGCAGATATTGTTTATGCTCAAACAGCAACATCACACACTAACTACCGTTAAAAAAGTGAAATCGCAATCAACCACCCCTTTAAGTCATTCAAGTCAGTTCAAGTATACTGTCATAAAATGAACATTTCAGAAAATCTATTTATGAGTAACAAGGATACTCCACTTGAAAATATAGGGCAGGACTTGATGTTAACCACGAGAAACAGAGTGAATGGAGAAAAGTGGTCTTTTATGACAGCTGATTGAAGGGGAGTGGTTGGGCTTGGTGATGTCAGTCAAAAAGAAAAGCTGCTTTGGAGGCACAGGCCCTTATTAAATGAATTTAATATTAATAAATGTAATAATTTAATTAAATGAACTGATGAATGATTTTTTCTTCTTTGCAATAACGTTAAGTTAGAACTAAAAAAAAAGTTATTTAAAGTGTTTAGAAAAAAGTCTGAAAATTTTAACTTTCTAAATTTTCTAAAGCAATTGATTTACAGAGTGGCATTTAACTGAATAATAATAATAATAATAATAATAATAATAATTCTTCAAAAACTACTAGATTACAAAAGCAGAGACAAAACAAGACTTAAAAAATAATAATAAAAAATTTAACACAAACACAAAAATCACTGACATGGATATCATGACACAAAGAGAACAGTGGAGTTTTGAAAGTATTCAGAAGCCTCAACAAATATATATTTTTAATTTCTTGGTCAGTAGGACCTGTGCCAAAACTGGAATCTTCAGAGCATGGTTTTAATGACATATACCAAATTTTGCTTCAACAGAGAACCGAAAAGATGAAAACTCCATATTGATTTTTTCATTGAATATATGAGAACATCTATTACACAAGTTTTGGATAAGATAATCCAGTAAGATCAAATTTGGTAAAGATTTAATGAACACTGTAGGAGGAGTCTGAAAATGTATATTTTCAGAAACCTTAAAATAGCAGAAAGTCGTTGACATAGGTTGGGCATGAGGACGCCGGAGCACAGCGGATTGTTCCTTATCTGACCAAAGCTCGGGCCTCACATTATCTCAGAAAAATGCTTTTCCAAGCCCTGTCTACAGCACTCACCCAGATAACAGAACACTGACTCCACTGCTCACCAATAACATGAAAATGTGGGAATTACATTAAAGTAATTATACTTATATTACATATTTTTTCGGTGTTAACCAAATTTATGCTAATTTATATTCCTATAAATATACATATTTTCTAGGGCTATCTAATTAATTAAATACACTACGTGGCAATTAATTAATTTAATTAATCACAAATTAATTTGGCTGAGAAATGACCCCCAAACATAATTTAAAGACATTATTGTGTTAACCTTTTTTTCCCCCCATTTTTAATTTTTGGGTGAACTATTCCTTTAATTAGCTTTTTATTAATAGCAATTTTTTTTTTCAGATTTTTTTATTAATATGGAAATATGAAATAATTTTTTTATGAAACGATACTCTAAATACAAAACTAAAACCGCCAGTGTATGGTAGGGCTGTCGCGATAGCCGCAATATCGCATTACCGTGCTATTGACGAGCAAACCGCAGAGGAATGCAAGAACCGCAGCAACCACGATTTTTGCGTGTTTTCTTTTTTCGTAAGGTTATGCCCTTCTCGTTTTACACTTCATGCTTGTGGACTGAATATTAAACAAGTTAGTAATGATAACATAATGTGTACCATGCTGATTTGTACAGAGGCTCCGTAGATTTGCACTTAACAAGCCTAAATAACAAAGAGTGAAAAATTTAAGGGGGTCTGAATACTTTCCGTACCCACTGTACATATTTTCTAGGGCTATCTAATTAATTAAATACACCACGTGGCAATTAATTAATTTAATTAATCACAAATTAATTTGGCTGAGAAATGACCCCCAAACATAATTTAAAGACATTATTGTGTTAACCTTTTTTTCCCCCCATTTTTAATTTTTGGGTGAACTATTCCTTTAATTAGCTTTTTATTAATAGCAATCAAAGTGAAGACAAACACAAAGACAAGTCATTACACAAGTCATTCAGGTAAAGACAAGAACCACTCAAACACACACTGAACTGTAAAAAGCCTCATCTACAGACTAGTCTTCAATAATTTCAGCCAAAATTAGCACGGCTGAACAAGTCTTAAAAAATAATAATGATGAGGCAGAGGAGACTCTGTAAGAGTTTGAAGAAAAGAATGTAAGATCAGTGACGCTGGAAAAATAGACAAGTACCTATGTACTGTTCACAAACACATGGGATCAGTATTTGTTGAGTAGATCAGTGCATCTGAGGTTTCAGTAATGCTTTCCTGTTATGTCTGTTAAGGTAATCTGAACCTGTACTGTGGGGCCATACGCCACTGAGCTAATGTCTTACTTGAGAGCAGGGTTTCCCAAACGGTGGGTTGAGAAATAATAAAAATAGTAGTGGAATTGTAGTGATATAGTGAGATTATCAAATCAAATACTGCGATTTAAATATGTAGTCTGTTGTGCCGCGTGTTTCAAAGTGAAGAGCATCACTGTGTTCATGAGAGCAGCTCATGATCGGATGTTTTCAGTGTTTCAGCTTGGTTCACAATAAATGAAGAAAGTATTGTTGTTATTATTAAATTTGATTGGGTTCCTAAAAACAACAGTGTGAATGCAATGTGGACTGAGACACTATCACAAGTAATGTTTATCTCATTTCACTTCATATAGCAATATATGACAACATAATCGCAATATGTTTTTTGGGCAAGTCATGCAGTCATCTCTATACAGCCTATATAAAAATAATTTTCAAATAAAAACTATTTTAAACGCTTACAATTGTTTTTTTGTTTTTTTTGGGGGGGGGTCAAGTCAAGCAGTCATCTCTATACAGTATATAAAAAATAATTTTAAAATAAAAACAATTTTAATCGCTTATAATTTTTTTTTAAAAAGATTAAATATTGTATCTATTTACTTGCATGTTTTGACCATTAACCGACATCAGAAAACTTGTAAAATATGCGAATGCGTTGTTAAATTATTGAAATATTAACTTAAAATCTCAGAGGATACATAGTTTATGTCTAAGGGATTTGACTGACAAAAAAGTTCTGAAACTGCTGCTTTACAGCAAAGAAGGACATGACTTCAGATTGGGAATAAAATCACCTGTATAATGCTAATCACCCCCTACCCCCTACTGGACACATCAACTAAAGCAGTGAATGTGTATTTTAAATGCCCTGTGCTTTGTGTGTATATTTATGAACATGTTTGCACATTAAAGTGTTTGCCTACAGCTGAACATATGCAGTCACATCTGATGATAGGAAAATATATCCTGTTCTTAGGACCTTTCAGTCACTCACCTGCAGGGTTGAGCTCTGGCATGGGTGGCAGCAAGAAAGAAGAAGAGCAGAATATCGGAGTTACACATTCACACTGACACAAGAATCATACTACAGAGGAGCAGTCAGGGGTGACTGTAGTACAGAAAAACTACTGATACTGTACTTTCATATTATATAAACATTCAAAATCAAAAGAAACAGAAGAAAAACATCCACAACATCTACAAAAAAGTACACTTTTAATGTTAATTAAAAAAAAAAAAATGTTTGCCAGTATTACACAACTAAACATCCCCACAGAATACTGTATATATATATATAGTCTGGAAGTCTGGAAAGTCTCTCATGCTCACCAAGGCTGTATTTATATGATTAATATGCCGTTTAAACAGTACTGTTCTAAAATATTATTACAACTAAAAAATAGGGCAAGATATTGCAAAAAATAAAAACAAATAAATAAAAAATTTATTGAGCAAGGATACATTAAATTGATCTAAAGTGACAGTAAAGACATTTACTACAGATTCCTATTTCAAATAAATTCTGTTCTTTGATGAATTTCTATTCATCAGTAGCCTAAAGGGATAGTTCACCCAAAAATGAAAATTCTGTCATCAATCCGAGCAGCTGAGTCCTTAGCCATCTTCAAGAATCGGCTAAAACCACATCTCTTCCATCTTTATTTGGCCCTCTAACTCTAGCACTCTCTATTCTAATTCTATTCTTTAAAATAAAAACACTTGTCTCTTTAGACTTTTATTCATTTGCTGCTTATTTTCTTTATAAAAAAAATAATAACACTAGCTTTCTAATCTTTTTGTATTCTATCTGTTTTCTTTTCATTTATTATACAATTAACAAAAGCAAAAAAGACCTCTAACACTAACTTGCTCTATTCTTTTTCTATTCTATCTGTTTTCTTTTTATTTATTATATTATTTAAAAAACCCTTGCTATGCTCACCCTCATGTCGTTCTAAACCCGTAAGACATCCATCCGTTCATCTTTGGAACACAAATTAAGATATTTTTGATGAATTCTGAGAGCTCTCTGACCCTCCCATAGACAGCAATGTAATTACCACGTCAAGGTCCAGAAACGTAGCAAGGAGATCGGTAAAATAATCCATGTGAGTGAAGAGGTTCAACCGTAATTTTACGAAGCTACGAGA